GCCTTTGTATGACAGTTCGTTTGACACAAGACATCTGTATGTCTTCGACAGGGCATCACTATAACATCGAAATTCTGCGAGGGTTCTGTCCGTGTTGTTCTGTTCTGGACGTAGTAATCAGCGACAGGGTTCTTGTGTGTCGACTATATACTAGATAGATAAAATAACAAACATTATGGTATGCAGGTTGAAAAATATTTGCAAACGCCGATCATTGTGGATATTGGAATTCACTAAACGTAACTTCACTGCGTCCCAATTCCCAAATGTACAGCTCGGCCAAAACTTCTGTGCGCGTGGACGGGTCGCTACTAGCCAAACTAAAACATACGGGCACCGGCTATTGGCAGTGCTGGGGGTAGTGGTGAGTGAGTAGCAAGACACAAATGTTTTCACAAAAGTACCCCCGCCAACCCCCTCGCCTAGACTCAACCAGATCTGGTCGCGCGCACGGAAACTTTGGCCGACCTGTACATCAGTTAATCTGTTCGAAAGCATAGAGTTTTGGAGATGCAGCAGGAAAGGTCACGGAATCAGAAGTATAAATCTTAACTGCATCATTCGTCGCGCATTCAAATCTGCGGAGGTTTTAAACCTCTTCGTGCGTCCTTAATTAACAATGTAGGCGTAAGGTCATGAAATTGAACTCAGAAGTTGAGCCCTTAAAATCATGGAATTCATGTCAGCTGCTTTGCCTCATGAGGAAGCGTCCCAAATTCAAGCAGTTACTGAAGTGATTTATTCTCTCTTTACATCCAAGTTTTTGCAATATTGTTAAATCATTTTGAAAATATAAGGTTTTTTCCTTAGGAAGTCGTGATGAAATATGAACCAAATAAATTATCTTAATACATAGTGATACTTATAAGTTCTCCGCTTCGGTTCGGCGGCCTCGGTCAGCTAGCGGTGCCGCAACGCCTTCATACCCGCTTGTGTTCTGGCCATTGAACAGACGTACGTAATTTGGATAATTTTTCCATCGCAATTAAAACGCGTCTTTATGCAACAAGAATCTAGAGTATAATATTTGAACGCAAACTAGAAACATGGTGGCTGTTCATACTTCATAGGTAGCATTTGTGATTTATCAAGGATAATTCGTCGTAAATAGTAGCATTGTGTGGAATTGTGTTGTGGAATATAATTAAGGTTGGTGAATTATAGTACTTTGTTCATTTACAAACTGTAGTCAAAGTGCTATCAGCTAGTGAAAGCTCATGATGATAGAAAAAGTTACTTGCCAAATTTTGTTTTATATAACAATCTTGAATATTTAACAATATGTAAGTTTTGGTATACGGTTCATAAGTATTTCAGTTCTAATTCAGTTAAGTGTGCAGTACTGTTCGCATACCTGGTTGCAATTATTATCAGTTTTTGATTAAATTAATTTAATTTGTGTTGCTCAATAAGTAATATGACAAACGTAGGGTTCAGACCATTTTCGTAGACTTTAAATGCGTATGCTACCAATGAGTGGATGCAACTACAATTTAGAACAAAAGCAATATGATTCACAGTAAATGCATAACTAAACACATTTAATAGTATGCATACCAGACTAAACTCGTAAAATGTATTTTTCCAGTATTGTCCTGTAATTTTAATAACACATTTTAAATCATTTACTCTTATTATTTCTCTTCAACTTATGTCAAAATTCTTTTACACGAAATCATACCCCCAACTACATAAGTGTTTTACTTTTACTCCACTACAAGCACGCCAGGCTCAAGTTATTTCTAGCCTTGCATTATGTTGCCCATAATGTGATCTATTAAATTTTCCCATGGTGAAACTGAAGACGGAAGCGAATCGAATCGTGATCAGATGCGATGATAGATCCATTCCCGAACGTGGTTGAAAGGTAGGGACGGTGATTTCTATTTGATGGTAGGCCTAGGATCTGTCCGCCTAGATTTGGGTTTTGATGTGAAGGCTCGACACCTGTTAGGTTCGGGAATGTTTTTGGAGAGAATGAAACTGCTAACCGCTGGTTGAGGTGTCAAAACAGGTCGTTAAACAAAATACGCCTTGATGTGGCACACACTTTCGGCGCAACCTGTTGGATACGCTAAACGTAGGTTCCGTACTAACGGTTATGGGTTATAAATATCTTGAGTTATTTGATAGGGGTGTTTAAAAATGCGATGTAGGCCTACCAAACAGCAAAAAGGAGAAGTAAGGTGGATTTTTATTAGAATTAATTATATCATGTAACTGTTTGAAAAATCTTTAGTAGGAGTGCTGAAAATCTTGGTTGAACAGTATAAACATTTCAGAAATGCTTTCACTTGACGTAAATATGTTGATTTTAACAATAGAATTATCACTTTAGCCTCGTTTTGTCGATGTATTGCGGCAGCCAAATTGGTGTATATTTATTTGTCAGTGACAATTCAATACAGGATTGTGTTCAAGGGTATATATAATAAAAATACAGTTAACTATTGCTGTCGTGATAACAAAAGTAATGAAATCGATAAGAAACTTTTTGAACACTAATGCAAAAGTATAGTTCTTCTGCCTTGGCGTAATTTATTTCCGGATTCCGGATGAGTACTATCAATGTAGTTTCTTATTAGAATATAATTTGTTTTAATGTATTTTGGAATGAGTTAAATGGGGAATGATTGCTAAAGCACACCTTGTCAAACAATAGTTTAGTAGTTGGTGGTAGATTTTATACCTGTGTTTCGCGGGTTACTCCGCTATCATCACACAAGGGCCATCTAGGTGTTGTCGGAGAAAGATAAATTTGATCACAGTTACACGTAAAGCAGAATTGTGAGTAAATCAAAAGAAAATGTTGTGCAACTTACACTTGTGGTTTTCTTCATTTTACCGTGCACAATCAAAATTGCTGATTCCTTTCTAAGTCTACTATTTAACACATCACTACGCAAACTCACAAGAACTTTCTGTTTCACCTGCTACAAATCTCTTCAAAATACCACACGTGTGTCAATTTCAGTATAAAATATGGACAGATACTTTCCCAAACTATTTATCAACTGGAGTTTCAGATAAATTAACCTTTCAGATTTAACGTGGCGAGATCGTGCGACTGGAACGTGCGATTCTAATGAGCTCGTCACTTGAGCAAAGCTCTTTCCCCAATCAGACCTCTTGGGGGTTCTCTGAGCAAAGCTCTTTCCCCAACCACATCTCTGTGGCGAATACTTCCACCATTCGACTAACCACCGAACGGAGAATTATAGGTCCACTTCGTCCGGTCCTCTCCTCCACCCTTTCCATTTTACGTCCATCAAGTACTTTATGCCTCGACATCCCGTAACCCAGATATCCATGGCTGTATCGATTTCTCGCTTTCAAAACTCACCCAAAACGGTCATACGTCATGTGATGGCGGGGCCTAACAAGGCAAGTTGCCTCGGCTCGATTAATTTACAGGTCCAACTGCTAATTGGTTGACTGGCCTGAGGTAACCAAACTAACTGATTGGGGAGATTTATCAAGGGGAAACTCAATTAGAAATTACTTGGTACACGATTGCTTCTTAGTCTTCAAGACTGGTAGCAATCTTTTCGAAACATTTTTCGGCAAACTAGCTTTAGTGCTCCTAAACAGTTTAATTGGCATTTTTTAAGTTTAACGTGACGCAACAATTGTACGTACTCTTCGAGGAATGGACGTGCCTTTACCATGTAGTTCAGATTGTTTAGCCCAATTAATTTTAGCAATGAGGTGTCCTCAATATGCAAATATTTATACTTCACATTAAAAACAAATTAACGAAATAATGACGAGCAAATGTTTTAAAAGTAGTCACAACATTGTAGCAAAATAACCTAACATTTATACGACGCCGACTCTACAATTAAGCGTATTTTAAGGCGGTGAGGAGTGAAAGATGAGTGTTAAATGAATAGGATAAGGAGCATTTATTTAGCCCAATGATCAAGGACGGCTAGCTACCGGACGAAAAATAAAAAAAACTATCCTTCGACATTTTTCGAGGATGAACCAGTATCTTTCAATTGGTATTTGGCCACTATATAGACTCGCAGCCGCAGCCTAAAATTGTATCGATTTCCCCTTTACCAAATTTACACAAACAACCAACATGTGTGGATGCAGAGGTGCCCAGTGGAATTTCCCACAACTACTGCCTTGGTCGTAGCTCTAGTGGCACCTGAGGGACATACTGATGCAAATGAGCCTCAGTCGAGATGAGACGGCCTTTTGTCCGTCAAATCTCGTCGTTAGGAGGGCATTCCGCCAAACAATGCCGTATTGTCGGTGAGTCATACGCAGTGCCATTCAGGTGCCGACATTCCGCCCGGCTCGGAGTGATAGGCCTACTTGTGTCCCAGAAAAGTAGTTCTCAGTTTGCGTTCTGTCCTGTGTTTTCGATACTGTTTTAATACATTACACCGAAAAATGAGTTTGAATTAAGTACGTTACTTATTTTATTTGGTATCCAACCACTGGATAGCAGAGTGGATTATAACTATTACTAATCAATACGTGATTACCTCTAATCCATATGTATATTGTGTACACTAATTGATTTTTCAATTTAATAATTACAAAGGGGGGAAGCGTAGGCTATATTAGACAGCTGTCCAAATCCTCCTTGTGTGGATAGCAGGCGATGTAACACATACCTCTTCGATGTACGAGTCTCTAACTACTAATTTTGGTAGTTTCATCTTTAGTACTTAAGAATGCTTTTTTTTAGTAGCACTTTTCATGCGCTCTTGGGTTGTAAATTAACGGTTTTTATTACGTGTCAAATATTAACTAGGAACACCCATTGCGTTTTCCTTTTTATCACAAGTTACGGAATCCGTCATTGATTCATAAAACCTACCTCAATTGAAATCTCAAACCTATATACTTTTGACTTTTAATCTAAACGACTCCAACAGCTTAAGAACTCACATTTCACACTGGAGTTGAAACCCCAGTAAGGTCAACTACTACTACCATTGACTATAGGTTCCTTGGCTAAAGGGTTCCTCTGTGTGTTGCAGGTGTCCACGACGTGGACGGCAGGTCTGTGGTGGTGTATGACGCCGCCGTGGTCAGAAGAGCAGCCTTGTCACATACAGATATTGCAAGGGTGGTCCTCTACTACAGCACACTTCCTGTCAGGTCAGTGACTAGAGGAGGATACACGCTTAAACCGTATTTCTTTTCCTGGGGCGCTCCGGAATTGTTTTTCACATTACTTCGGGCTAGACCTAGGGGTTACGGCATTATCACTTAAATTGGTGATTTGGCGGGTTTTGAACCCGGGGCCCCAGGAACCGGAGTCCCACTTTCTAACCACTATACCAGCTAGTCCCCTGCTTTAACTGTATTACCACTCATAGAAGTAGACATTACAATCTCACGTTTAAGTTGTATCCAGTTTTTAGAATAAATTAAAGTTACATTGGTATACATACAGAGTGTGTTGATGTCAGTTAATGATTTCTGTCCACGCCAAAGTTTTGACCAACCTACAACTTATTGTATATGTAGTAAAACTCATGTAATCCTTAAAAATGTCAAATCAGCGTGTACCCCGATGGCAAATGTTGTGGTCTTAGTGGTTCAAAACCCACCTTAGATTTAGATCCATTCATGAAAAAGGTACTAAGAGAAATATCTCTGTAATTTAGTTCTATCCCCGCAATAAACCCCGAGAATTATGTTTAAATAGATGGAACAGTGATTTTAACAGTTATAGGCTATGCACATTTATATTATTTTACCAAATTAACTTCTGTGCTATGACTAAGGAATTATTTCTGTACATTTAAGGTAGTCCTACTTGGGTGGTAAGTATTACAAACATCCTGTTTACATGGAAATCGAAGAACACATACCGTTAGTTCCCTTACAGAATGGTCAGTAATTGTTCTTTTGCGTCTTTCACTTGTGCGGTTTCGCCACATCCCGCATGCCACGCACATTACCACTAAAAGTTGTATGTACCGTTATTAATTTGTTCCTTCTTGTGGATAAATTATTCTGCATTAACTCTGTCTCAGGTTTCTCGTAACACACCATACTTGCATTAAAGTAGATTCATTGAACAAATTATCAATTTGTGCATTGTACTTTAACAAATATATTTCAATTTTTAATAAAAGAGTGGTGTGTTTTAAAATGGTAGAGCATAATGATAAAATTTGCTTTATTCGTAGCATATTTAGCAAATAAAATACCGATATATCTGGAGAAATCTTCAATAAAATTAGCAATGTGTATCTTCAAGTTATTACAACAACACTTACCACAGCTTCGCCTTCAGATGTGTAGTCATCAGATTGTAGACAACGTAGATGATTAAATCAGGTTCTATCTGTATAATGAATATGATTTTTATGGCAAATATGTATGATTATTGAATGCCATTTCACTCTTGTTGCTGACTTAATATAAATTCCCTCATACAGAATTACATTATACAGTTAAGAAAATCTCAACTAATTCGGAAAACAACATTTTAATTCCAAACGACTATCTTTCCTTGTGTTGTACACTTACGTACGTAAGTCAAATATATTGATTTCCACACATCCACGGCCCTATTAGCGCAGTGTTTTCCCACGGTGATGCGCAGTGCGGGAGTCTGCGCGTTTCACTGTCCAGTAAGGAGCCGGCGCGCCGTATTGATGCGTAGTGTCAGTGATGCATCAGACAACGTGGACTCTATTACCCACACTATTTGCTATACACTTTCTACCCGCGTCCGCTCACGGATCGGTCATTTGACCTCGCGTCAAAGTCAATGTCAATGATGTAGGTGTGAAATCGTCCACGTAATGCTATGCTTCACTCGCTATTTACCTATTTGCCACTTTCCATTTCTAAACAATCCCCGTCGGTTTCTCCCACACATTGTTTCTTATCTCTTATCGTCTGGTTGATGAAAGACCAATTGCTTATTTGTCAGGTCGCGGTGCTCTTCAGTGTTGCCGTGGTTGCTAAACCCGGCATTGTTTTGATACAATGATAAGATCGGTGCATTGTTCTAAGGACACTTGTCCAGATTGAATGCTCGCTGAATCTGTGCCAATGACATGTCCCGTCCATGGCTGTTTGGTCCGAGATACCAGCTCTGTGCTTGTTCACTCATAGTGGTTTGAACAACTATTTTTTTTCTGCAAAGATGTATGTAATTGGTGTGGTTATCGTACAATGATTACCGTTTAGGAAATGTATAGTTTTGCCAAGAAAGTAATTGGTGCAGACTGATTTTAAACCTTGTAGTCCAACCAAAATTTTAATTTAAAACTCCCAAACAAAACAGTCCACAGGAAATAAGCAATTATTAAGCTATACATTATACCGTATCAGTTTCGAAAGAATTCTGGTTTTGTTGGATTTATAATTATAAAACTAAAATTAATCATACAATTTTTATAGTGGCTAGTTGCGTTTGTTTTATGTTTTCAATTAAGACATTACTCAATACAGTTTTTATAGTGTTCTTTCAAAAAGATGTTCTCTCCTTTAAATGATTGTCGTATTGCTCTTTGTGGTAGGATATTACTAATATAAAGAAAGTTATCATTCTTCCTACACATGTGAACACTAAACTACGAGGTAACTTTTATTACTTTTATTATTATGTATATAATAGCTAATATACATTGTTGATTATGGAAACCTGTACCCGAGCCTCCAGGACCAAATCCCTTCGTTCTAACCAATAAATCAACCGCTTGAACAGTACAGTGGTACGCCTTAAGCAAACTACCACATAGTTGTATGAAATGACCAAACAAATCGATGTTGCATAACAACCTGTCTAGACATTTAAACTATTCAAAACCATAACTACCGACTTCCATTCAAGGTATGGACTACTTGTTGCCCCTGATTGTCTGTCTAGTTGTTATGCACAATTGGCTTTATGTAACAGCAGATGCATCGCTCACTGCTTGGTATTCCGGCGCCATCGCACTAATGAAGACGCTGGAAGTCGGGGCTAATTTCAGTTGAGAGTTGAAGCTCATTATCGTGTTTCTACTTGACTCTTTACACGTGTCGCCGTGTTTCAACGCTACTTGAGGGGCTGAACACGTCGGCGTGTGGTAACAATACGGTTAACACGGTTTGAAGTCTGAGAAATCCATGTGAACAAACTCATTGGTGATGCTTAGCGGTAAAATAGTGAAGGTCCACAGTATTTGTGAATGTTAACAACCTTAACGATAAACTCTATTAGAACTGTTTGTGTAATTAACAAAGTGTTAACGGATAAAAGGAGACTCGGTTTCATAAACTTGACGATAAATTGCGTATTCTAATTAGATTTTTGTAATGATTAATTTTGACATTCTTTGAGTAATTTCTGCCTCGACCCTCGTCCTATTCAGAGTTATTGGTTTTTAAAATAATATAATTCCTCAACGTTAGATACAGACACTGGCAGACGTTTCATTACCGTGTGAAAGTTATTGCCAGTTTAACAAAAAAAAACGACATAATTTAATTGAACCACTGACAAAGCGTTTTCCTTATTTTACTCTGGCCAATATTCTTTCCAAATTGGAAAGACGTCCTATGCGAACTAAAAGGGGGGAAAGTAACACTTTCAGTACAGTACAGTATCACACTCTATGCAGTATGCATATATGCTATCATAGAGTGCGGTAGTGTTCTAATAAAGTTATATTTTCCTTTACTAGAATGAGTTTAAGCTCAATCAACTTCTTTGTGTTTAAAGAAACACGTTTTTATAGCTGCACCATGTAGGTGGGTTTATTCAGTACTCAAATTCAATGTTACCACTAAATAAACATCTTGAACGAGCCAAGGCTTACAAACATCTGGGAAAGCATTAGTATTTTCAAACAAGCAGGTACTGTAGTAATGTTCAACTTGTTAAGGACATTTCGTAAAGTCTCGTTATATGTTTTGCAATCATAATTCAAAGTAGCCAGAGTTTTAAGCGTTCCTCGCCCGTGAAAGTAAAGGTTTCACCTGCAAAAAACTCGCCGCGACTACAAAGTCCAACTCAGTAATTCTTTATGGGTCGTTTTAAATCAAATCTCATTATTGAAGGCGGGAAAAAGTGAAAAGATTTCTCCAGTAACACAGGATGACTTTGGCGGTCGTCGAAACGAATTTATGATGGTACTAAATAATGCTGATTTTAACAGTCTTTTTGTTTAACTTCACGGTAAAAGTTAGTCTGAAATGTTTTGCATTAGTAGAAATGACTCGTGTGTTTCCCCAATTATAGTTGACATCTACTGTAAACAACATAGTCAACTGATACAGCACAAGAGTAGTAGTTTTTTTATCATTCGAAAACTCGTATTCGTGCCCTATTGATTTCCCTCCTCAGTAGTGCAATTACCCAAACGTTTGAACAAGGATTGAATGTTATAGTTTTTTTGCATAATCAAGAACAATTTGCACAATATTTGATCCTCGTGTTAACAGTTAGCGCAAATATAATTTGATCACCAGCAACGCTCTTGGCTTTTGCACAAGCGATGTAGTTGTACTAGCTGCATACATTGGATTTAAAACAATATTTTCCTTCGATGTACATACAGCTTCTTTAGAAGGGTTTTGCAAGATCAGCTCGATGAAAATGCTCAACTTTTGGAGCTGGCATTACGCAACGAAACTCTCTGTAGGTTTATGCTTTTCTCTGATTAGTTCTTCCTCATACTTGTATTTGCATGAGCTAGTTGTAGTAGCCTGCAGACATTGTTGATGGCTAGACCTCAATGTCTCTGACCGTGTTGGGACTTTATTAGCACTTTGATGACGGAGTTGCCGTGAAGGACTGCATTGATTGGTCGTAATTCTAAACAGGGAAGTCTAAACTGTGATCCGCCATTGCTTTGTTACATTTGTAACGTTGCGACCGTTGAAATAGAGAATCGTGATTTTTTTCTAGAGTAAAATGAGTTTTATGCATGCCTTCAAACTTTCAGATACTTGAAAATAACATTTCTTGGTTATTTGGATAAAGGAGTTCATCAATACTTAATTTTGAGAGTCTATTGTTTTATTTAGTACTAGCTGTAACCCGCGGGCTTTGCCCCGTTTAACTTCTTAATTTTCAAGATTATCTAGTTCGCATGGCTCAATCACGTCCTGGTTGAAGATTGTTCGCTACGCTCACTCACCTTTAGATTGGAGCTCGTTCGCTACGCTCACTCACCTTCAGGTTAGCTCGTTCGCTACGCTAACTCACCTCTAGGTTGAAGTTCGTTCGCTACGCTCACTCACCTTTTGGTTGCAAATTAGCTGTTGTCATAAATGTAAAAGAAATAATAGTGCTGCACCCTGTTGGTAATCCTTGTAACTTTAATGCTATTGAACATCATAGAACAGAACCAACTTGTTTAATTGAAACAGCTGTTAAGATTCAATAATTCCTTTCTCATAACGTTAACATGGGAAACTCCAGAGCCACTGGGGCGGAGCCCGAAAGGATTTTTGAAATAAGAATATGCCTATATGTTAATCGGGAATGTGAGCTATCATCATGCCAAATTTCAGCCCAATTCGACCAGTATTTTTCGCGTTCACTTGTCACAAACATCCAAACTTTCTCATTTATAATATTAGTAGGATAGGATTAGTAGGACTACCTGAGAACTATAGTTTGGTAGTAATGACTGCAAAAGGCAAATCTTCAAATTTGTCAATTATATATGGTTAAAATACTGTATGATATTTTTAGTATAAGTCAGACCATTTTGCTATTCTTAGTTATATATAGGCTCAAATCTATGAATACTTAAATCTACAGCTAGAAACCTCTAAATTAACTCACCTTATGTTTTTGTATTGGTAGGTTTATTGTTCGAGACATAAATTCGGTCTCTGCACACTCAAAAACAAGTTACTGAACCAACTTCTATCAATTGTATGTCCCGAGTTTTCATAATTCCTTTAATATTCATGATATTATGAATTTATATTGTCAAGGGGATCTAGATTCGTTTGTTTTCAAATTCTTCCCTATCTTTACATACAATGTGTTCTCCCAAAGACAACTCAAATCCAGCCAATTAGCCAGCATCCCAGCTGTTTGGTCACGTCACCCAGCCTCCTCAATCAGCTGATCTTGTTTGTTTGGCCGTGAAAGTGTCAGTGTCGTCTGCTAATGAATATCGCCACCCCAGCTTCAGTTTCCCTCCTGGTCGTGATCTCGGGTCACGTGTTCCCATCTCATCAGTCCGCCACTGTTTAGTCAAACAGTAACGTTCCGGTTCCCGCCGTTTTCGCGGGCCCCGCGGATTTCTCCTCGCCATTTCCGCCATCCCGGGGACTTCGACTCCCTAATGGCGATTCCTCGGCACGCACGACGTATTGCGTGTAAGTTTTCTATTCGTTAGATTCCGAAGCGATAACCGATAGGCTTTTCAGCGGATTTCTCCGTTGAAAGTAAAAATTCTCACATAGTTCCCGCCAATATTTTACCGATAATTGCGCGCGATCTTATCAGCGGTTATTTACAGTGGCTCGTGTCTATTGGGGAATTTACGATTGTATGCGGGGTTTCGTTTGCCAGTTAAAATTGGCAATGCAATATTTATATGTCTTAATTAGGCAAGAAGATTTAATTTCGAAAGCCCATTCAAGAGAGCTAAAATATAGGTAGAAAGCTCTCCATCCACACTTTTGACCAACGCTTTAAACTCGGAGAATTTAGAACCCAGCTGCTAAAATTACTAATGCTATTAGTTATTCCCAAATCATATTTTTAGTAAATTTTATAAACACAAACAACTCCTTTACACACAGTATTTTCTGATCTTAATTGAGGATCCTGCCTCATGAGGCAATGTCTAAGTAATCTTTAACCCGCTGCGTGTTGCTGTGACAGACAGATAGTAGATGTCATATATCCTTTTGCACTAACCAATAATTAACTTGGTAAAAGCATTAGTCAAAGTCATTGAAGAATAACACGAATTTGATCCCCAAAACCATTAAGCTACTTTGTAAGGTAACAGCTCTAAATCATCTCTAAAATACTACACAACTGGCGTGGACAATAACAAGAAATCCTTAAAGATTATACTATCTCAAATCCACTTCAATTTTATGCTTAGTAGTGTCTTCTAACCGTTCAACCGACTGAGCCATAATCATTTCTATTACCTCGGCAAATTGCAGGCAGCAAAAAGCCTCGTTTGCAGCGCCAAGGATCTTTATTGTCGACAAACCTTGAACCTGAGCCTGCGTTGCAGTAGAACTGTTCAACTGTTGTAGAGGATGATAAGTCTCGGATCGATTTCCCTTTCGTTCCGTCCATCAGACACGGTGGACAGACGACAGACGACAGGTGACGTAGTGGTCCTGACTGGTCGACGCACTGCATTGGATCACTCGCATGCACTAAACTGAACTACTGCTGTAACTGTCGTTGGGTCTCAGTGCACCTTTGGAAAATTTACTGCAAAGTAAACTACGGAGAAATTACGTTATAGGTTAGGGCAAAACTTTTACTATTATACTTGAAAACGTCTAATTCATCATTACTTTTAAGTTTTCTTTTTGGTTTTTTTTTACAAATTAGCCATATTTAATGAAGACATTTTTGTTTTAAAACGTTTATATTTGTCTAAAACTACGTTTATTCGAATTTACGACGAATTTACACTTTTTCCTTGATGAATATAACAATAATTAATGTTCAGTTACGGACATTTTTAAGGTGTTAGGATGGTGGTAGATAATTGTCAAAACTGGTTTAAACTATCCTTTAACGGCTAAATCCCTACCTAGCAATATAGTAGGCCATTTTTTCCCCATAATTTTGCATTTCTCTAGTGATTTAGTTTAATAAAAAATATTACACGAAAAATGATACCTCTGTTCATTTACTATATATGAATAATCAAGAATACACCTTATAAAGATAATGCATTTTCTGAATAAGAATGGCTTCAGTGACACAGCTTCTACAATGTTAACCTATTACACATGTGTCTCATTGGTCGCATAGTAACGATGGTTTATCCTCTAGCTCGCATAACTATGTATTTATCCACGAGAAAAACTTTAAATGGTTAAAACCTCACTAGTTGTCACGTTTTATGACCACGGAAGTTAATAAATGATTATATAAAACCCAAGGCCCTTTGTAAACACGTGTAACTGCAACCGTGCATAACTATTACAGTCGCTATAACCGTTACAATGTATTCGCCCACCAACATTGTAACTTCTTATCAATCGCCCAGAGGCCACTGCGACTAACACGGTCAGATAATTGAAACCGATGCAACCCAGATTCTAGAGATTGTGCGGAATTAAGTCATTACTCGCAATAATTTAGTGACGATATAATCTGCGCAGAATGCCGCACGTTGTATTACATTGCGATAACCGTTATCAATTATTTACTTTCGGTTTTTACCGCGAATTATCGTTATTACACGTACCTGCGGGCGGTGCGGGTGTAGTAAGGAGCAGGACACTGTAATTTATAACGAAATCTCATTTGTTTATGGGAAATTTTGACGGAGAAATTAATCAGTGTTGAAAGTCTGTTGTGCATGGGTTATGGTGGGTTGGTAAATTTCTGAAACAACGCATTGCACTTTTATTACGGTTCTTTCCCATCTTTCAAATGCTTGTTCACGCGTTCATTATCCGCAAGAGAGTATGACCATAAGTTTTAAAACCAGCCAGTAATGTAATAGTCGATAATACTGCAGTAAAGCAGTGTAATAGTTAAATCAATGTCTTTTGTCCTGAAATCCTTGCCAATAATATGACAAGTAATTACCCCTAACATATGACGATTCAAAATCTGTCACATCTCTTATCAGTACAGATTACATCTACATACGTATTTTATACATAATTTGCCTCCAGCATTGATTTATTTACATAACATCAGGTTACTAACCTGTCGTTAATCAATCCTATATTGTTTGACAAAATGGGACTGATTAACGACAGGTTAGTAACCTCATTTACGTATCTCAATCCAGGACTGTATGAATCTTATTATACTGTAGGCAAGCTTTTTTAGCCTATAGTACCTCCATTTAACAAATCAACTGTATGTTCCAGGCCTGACAGGACGTCCAATGGCCTCACATTGGTCTGTGTCAATCTCCAACCAGAGGGTGTCCACTTGTTGGATAAGGCGTTGGTCTTTATCACAGTAAGTATCATAATTATATTACTTGTATTTTTTTTTAATTCGACTAAATATATATTTTTTAAGAGCCTATAGCAATTAAACATTGATTGGTTCTTTAGGTTCGTAGTTTTTTTTGCATATGGTATTGGATATCACAGTTTAGATAATACATTCATGTCACAAGGAAACATCGATAAATCGACAAAATTTTCACACATTTTAAACGTAAAAACATGATCTTAATGCAATTTAAATTGTTTGATTAACATTCTTTTTACACCTGATTGTGATATTTATTCATCATACAGATTTTAACAAAAATGTTGATCTTCCAATGCCTAAATTCTTTCAAATAGCCTACAATTTAACTGCCCTCAACACGTTATATTTAGACACTTCCTCACAAATTGTACATAAGCATTATTATCACAGAAAACGTACTACTATAACCCAGAATGCCAACCGCATGGTAAAAAGCATTAAGCGTTTTGAGAGAGCTTTGCCTGTCAATCCGTAGGCAGCGCCACCAGCGTTGCCATGCAATAGCATAGCAACGCTGGTGGCGCTGCCTACGGATTGACAGGCAAAGCTCTCTCAAAACACTTAATGCTTTTTACCATGCGGTTGGCATTCTGGGTTATAGTAGTACGTTTTCTGTGATTATTATAAGCTATAATTTGTATGGTGAGTTTTACTATTATATTTTTTACCTTTTTTCAGAAAACACAGAGAGTAGCTCGACTCCTAGTTTCAAATCCGGACCAGCCACCGGGTCATTCTACACTACCCCTAAGCAAAACTCAGGTTGGTAACTTCGCTACTTTTCCTATTCTTGTCAAACCGCATAATGTAAAGCATAACGAAAGCCACTTAACAAATTGTGTGGCTTATTATATTAGTGCATGGGATTTTAGTACTTGAGCTAAAGAGTGGACTATTTTTTTACTTTTGTAGTTATGTTTATTTGTATGTGTTTCAGTGCCATTCCGTCAAGGACTCCTCCGACCTCCTCCACTTCCTGCCAGAGGACCAGACACCTTCCGAGTGTGGAGGAAGAACCACCCATGATCAACTGGAGTGGGTGGAATTCTTCAAGGTAAGATCCACATCTATCTTATTGATTGCATGAATGATTTTCTTGTGCATGGTGTTGTCAGTATTATTAGAAGGGGCGAATTTGAGTAAAACATTTTGTTAATTTCTACTCTTTAGTGAATATATTCTAGGTTTACTAAGTTTGTCCACGTTCATTTAGTTATGGTTTGAGTTAGAATCTAGTTATATCTCAAACAGTAAATCCAGGGGCAACACAGGACTATTACATTGACTAGGAAAAGATCTTTTTCTAAAGTTTAAAGAGGATCTCTTAAGAGGATCACCTACACGTTTTGATACGTAATTGTTGTGAAATGTTGTAATTGTTTAAAGATGCGTGACTTCTTTTAATCACCATGAATTCATTTGCGATTAGCAAAATAATGGTACATTATTGAAAACCGATAGAATTCACTCCGTCAGTTAACTCACGTATCAACTACAGTTATTCAGATATTTCAACCAACTTTCCTATGTAACTCAACCGTAAGTACAATTTAAAACTATTAAGGACTTTGCCGCCCAACCGCGCCAAGTGTATTGACTAGAAGGCACTTGACATTATCAACAATGGAAGTGGAAGGTTACACCACAACATTGTAGTGTCATCGACCGTACAGATAATCTCAGCTGTACCCAGAAGTCAAGTTCACCAGTTCACCAGTTCACTACCGGTTTATCACTAACTGTTTACCCGGTTTATTGTTTAGCGACCAGATACGCGAGTAAACACGTCGGGTTATACATAAAGACGGGTCTATTTAGATATAACGCGGCGATATTGAGAGTACTTAATATGCTGTACGGGAATTGCTGCACTTGGATTTTATAGTGTGGCCACGCCTGCTGCAGCTCTGGGCAGTTTAAAGAATTACGAAGTGTTCATAATTAAATTGGTTTCAAGCTTCGCATAATCTCGCGATCGTTTAACACGGATATAGTTAATAGTCGTCCTAGTTCTACCGGGATGTGTGCTTGGCTAACAGTATTTTATTAGTTTGCTCAATAACGTACATTGTAGGCTAATTTGAATTGAAGAGTTTTTTGTACAGTTAATGAGCTGTATTCTATACGTCGCAAGTTAAACTACGACTTGAAAAAAACTGTCTGCTTTTAGATTTTCGGGTTTCTTAAAAATAGTTGAGGATGAGGCTCGAGTAATGCTTTAACCAGTTATGTTGGTTTACTTTAGTAAAGCGTCAAGATTCCCCTTGCTATTTATTCCCTACTAGCATACACAACACTGAGATTATTTTAGCCAATTGGTTATCGATATCAATATCAGATTAACACTTTATGGCTGTGCCTTCTTCATACTAATCTGAATTTTGTTAAATTATTATTCGCAGATTTAAATACAGACTAATCTTGAATTAAACAAAGCCTCGTGACGCACTGCTGTATTACAATGCAGAAATAATCCGTATGCCGAAATTCGCCCATTTGCCAAGGCACGCGAGCGGGCAAGGGTCATATCAGTAGGTCAAAGCCCTCCACCGTCACTCAAACTACACCACTCGTACCGCTTTTGTTGTCGGCTCGATCATATGGTGCGATAACTATATTTTGGGTTGTGTAATCGTGCCTCTTGTCAACTATCGTATTTTAACCTGAAGTGGAAAATACGCTTGATGTATATGTTGTTGGTATGGAGGGAGATTGAATTGCTTCAACTACAGTCACCCGGTTCAGGTAAACTGTTTGGGATGTGGAATTACAAATTACGGTTTTACATGTACATAATGATTTTCGATACGTGAGCGAAGTAAAAGAAATACGGCAACGAATCTGCAATTAATTTCTCACTGGTTACCAAACCGTTCCAGACTCTGAGGAAATTCGCAATCACGAAGAAAGGGTCGAAAGGTCCGACGTCACGTGACGCGGTGACGTCACTCGGCGTCTACCACGTGACACGATGACGTCACGCAACGTAATCGGCAGCCCCGACCTTGTACACGGGCGGGAAAGTGATGAAAGTGTAGCAGAGGAGTAGAGCACCGACCGAACCGTTCTCACGCCATGGTAAACACCAGCCCACTTGGCCTACAAATGGCAAATGGCAGTCGTCACTACAACCGCCGCACCGCCTGAGAAAGTGAAATTATGCTGAAATGCTCACTCACTGAGCCATCGTTCGGCAAATTTTGACTCAACTGAGCTGGTGAATAGATGGGTAGCTGAGTGGTTACAGAAGGGACTTCACTTAGAGAGGATAGTCGGTTCAAATTGGAGACTGAGTAAATATTCATTAGTTGTCTGTAGCAATAGCTAGCTGTTGTTTGTCTTTGGACTATTAATAAATTATCAGTGATGTCCTTGGCTAAAGGAACAGCAAGCTTGATAAGAAACAAAGCTAAACAAAGCATCTCAATATTACTTATTTTAGGAAAAAATTCCCCCAGTTTCGATACCACATAAATTTTAATGTAGTAAAGGTACAGAATTTTTTAACGTAAAACTGATGGTAATATTGTTGGCATGAGCTGTAAACGACGTGACATCAAGTGTGCATTACATGTTTACATGTAGTTGATTATCTGTTGTTTACATGTACATGTTTTTAACTAGGACCATTGTTAGTTTTTTTTCTACTCAGAACATATGTTTTGCAGAGTAGCCAATTTTGTAATGTAAACAAGTTAACTGTTTTAATTGCATTGTGTCATACATCCCTCTTTTCCCCACAGGAGCTGGAGCCGTTTGTGAGCAGCTGTCAGGCTTGCGGACGGCGTCTGGTGGGTGTTATGTCGGACGTCCGTAGTGCCGTGGACGGCACGATGAGTCGTCGGCAGCTCAGCAGTCAGCACCGCACGATGAGCAGAGTGCTGCACGACAACGAGCTGCAGCGGCTCAGGAGAGACGGACAGACCACACTGGCAGCTCTGGAGGACCGCGCTCAGTGGCTGCCGGACAGCGAGGATGTTAGGTGAGGGGAAAAGTTCGTGGTGTAAATAATCTCTATGTTGTGCGGAACTGTAAACGTGAAAAGTTGTATTTGTACCAACAAACTCATGTTAGTTTTGTCAGAACGTCTTCATTCAGAGTCACGGTGTCATTGTTCAAGCAGTTTAAGAGGAATGATTAGCAAGAAATCACTAGGTCGTGTGAAGCTGCATTTGGCACAACACAATTTCTTTCTCGACTTCTCAAAGTAGTAGGCCTAGGCTGGCCTAACAGTTGGGCAGATAATCTATGTTTCGTTGCTGACGTTTCTCTAAAAGGGCAAGAATCACCTTTATTTGCTGGATCGCCGAGGGACTCCACTTACCTTTAGATGCCGAACTCAGGGACGCGCTTCCGTTGTATTTTGAGACGTCGCCATTTAAGTTAGCGTCTGAAACTCGGTAAAAACTTTATAAGCCTGATTATCAGAGACGACTCGTCTAAAAACTACCTCTTTTCTAGGCTGGGAGTTGAGCGAGCAGAAAGATTGTTCTCTGAGGTGGACCGAGCCGCCAAGCGACTCGATGAGTTGAGTGACAAACGCCGGGAGAAACTGCGGGAGTTGGTCAAGATGAGAGCACTTGAAGACGAGACATCACAGGTAAGTCTGTCACAGAACTGCATGCCAATTTGTGTTTGCAAATTTCCCACTTTATAGGGTAAATCTTAATGATGTGCAACTATTCAAATCACGTGGATTTCACCAACAAGAAAAAAAATTACTTTTGCGTCGATTCAGGTTCAAAATCTACCCCACATGACCAAGGAAGAATAATGTAATTAAGGAACCTACGACTTCTTGGAACGTGTATATATGTTTAGGTATGTTTTACAGTTACACGACAATAATATTATGAAGGGAAAATCCAAAATAATCTAACAATAGTACAGTAAAAGTAAATGTTATAAAAGTAATTTGTTTTGAATTTTGCCGTGTTTTTTAGTTTTACTGATCTATCTTTCTTACGTATTTTTCTGTGAGTGCCTATTAATAGTGTTTCATGCATGGTTTGCATTTTTCGAACCGGCTTTAATGTTTTTTGTTGACATGGGAAGATTTCCTTAATTTTTTTGTTTAAGTTAGTAGAACATGTATTTTTTACGAATCTGAAATGAAATTATTAATGACAGCGTCCTTTAATACGATCTGACTCAAACTTTTTCACAGTTTCTTTTGGCTGTCTGGTTCTTCATTACTTTAATAAAAAAACATCAACTCTAGTATTCGATTTTTAATTCCCCATCGTTCACCATCGCCAATATTGCCCCAGAATGGCCATCCGACCGGCTTGACGGCCAGATCGGGCCAGAAGTTGGCCAACACCGACCACTGCTGTCATCTTTATCTGTACCGGATGACAACATTGACAGCGCTGTATCTGTCATAACCTCTGCTACTAATTGTAGCCTTGTCACAGATTAGTTGACATCCCTTCAGATAGATGGTTCCCTCACTCAGCTCTCAAGTCTAAATTGGAAACAGAGAAATGTTTGTGTTCGCTTTTGTCTCGCCCATTCAAAACAGGAACCGGGTGACAGGACAAGTGAAACAACGCGACTCATGATATCGGGTGTTGTCTAAATATTTTTAGATTGAGTATCTGATTCGTAATCGTCTCTTTTAGTTTTATTCATAGTGTGCGATGGCGGGCATTTTAAGTATTTTTATTGCATGGATATTAAAAATAACGTGAGCGCCAAATAAATGATGTAACTGAAGCAAGGAACTGCCATGGTCGTGTTTATACTGTATACAAATCATTAATTAATTTACACGTTTCGCTCGTCAAAGATCGTAAAAAAATTCAACTAATCTTCTCACGGCAGCCATTAACTCACAAAACCAATTCTATAAAAGTCATTAAATGAGTAGTGGTAAAGTGGTGTAATTGTTATCTCTGCTAATGTACTTCTTTTCTTTAGACAAATTGTACAACAATAAATTTCAATGGGAAATGGGATACTTACCGATGTTCTATCTTTTACCGCTTTTACCATTTTCGAGATATCAGCGTTTTCACGCATAGCGCTCCCCGCCATGTTTGCCCCCTTCCCCCCACCTTATCGACCACTTTTGAAATAGGCGACATACGTAATTTTGATCACCACAGTCCATATTACAATAATCAGCAATAATATTGCGTACTACTTTCATGCATGCTCAAACCCCCTCAGCTCCTGGACTATAACTTACTAATTTTATACTATCCTGTACAACCTAACTGGATTACAAAAGCATAATTTGGCCGTTTGTAATTTTAAACTTAGTATCCAGCAGGTTAACAATATGAACTATTTATTGTCTCAAAGGTGACATTTCACATGATCAAATATTACTTATACAATTTAATAATCATAAATTCTATTTAAATAACAATATTTATCCATACGTTTTTTGTTCACATACATAATAAAGACAACACCCGAACGTACCCTACAATCTTAATAGATCACTCATTCGAACACAATGTCATAATGCGATTATGTTGTCAGACCACAACAGAGATAAAACTGAGGTGGCCGACTCTTTGAAAGCCGTTCAAACCGGCCCAGTGGGGACCAAAACATTATAATACACAAATCAACTCATGAATAACCGATTAGGCTTGTTGAGTCGTTTGTTTAGTGACATGCAACCCTGGTCTTTGGACAAGGGTTACAGGAAGGGAAGGAAGGGCCACCCAACAAGTCCTCCGCCCTTCTGGACCCCTCCAGGACTTCATTATAGGGCCACACGGTTAAATTTAGCTATAGTGGGGCCATGAACAGATATAATGTGGTAGAAAACGTGCCTATGGTTTTTACAATTCAGTGGCTTTAGGTAAATCAGTGGGTTGTGCAATTTTTAACCATGCATTTTTTTTCAAGAAGGTTTTTGTTTTTTGTTCAACATACAAAATGGTTCATACTTCGTTCTTAAAAAGATTGGGAAATCGTTAATCACGTATCCTACGTTTGAAAGTTAACTAGAAAAGACAAAAAATATTGTATTTCACAATAATTAAAAGAATTCCTATTTACTATCACGTAAAATATTTAGTATTTTGTCTAAAAAACACATTAACACGCTTATGTTCCTGGACCAAATTTTTCTCATAATCAGATGTGGATTAACAACTTTTTATCGGCATTGATTTAAAGTGGCAAACAGTTAAACCTACGAAATGTTTGTTTCCCAAACCAAAAATGCCTCACGAGACGTTAATCGAAGATCAAGTAGTGAACACCAAATACATCATTACTTCTGAAACTTGTTTAATCAATGTCTACTTCAAGAAGATTAATTAAGATGTAATCAAAACATCAATAAGACGTCATTCACATCGTTTCAGGACAAACATCCGACGCATTCCACAAGAAGAAAGCCTCGACCCAGTCAAACTTCTCTAATTGAATAGTTCAATCTTCTCCTCGCTGTCGGTCGTTTTGACATTTCACGCGGCTATTCTACTTGTTTATGACACTTTCTACATTTCCCGGCTATTCTACATAGGCTTCGACCTCTTTTGGGTCTTTCCTTACATCCTCTCACATGATTGATTGTCTTGTCTCGCCTTTTTAGGATGTTCCAGGTATAGTGTTCTCCTACGACGCTTGACTTCTTCGCCGTTGTGTTTATTGAACATCAAGACGTTTCTATGGTCACGATGCTCAATGTAATTGCCTTTTACAAATCATAGACTTGAGTAGTTTTCTACTTTCCAAATTTCTTTATGATTTTTGTAACATATCTACAACCTCCTTGACATCGAACGAAACCTCATGGATCATAGATTGATTACCCTAAAATGAAAACGAATGATGAGTATGCTGTATTTTTGTTACCTTAGTAATGCAGTTTGTGTTCTCTTCCAGCGTCCTTATGAGAAATTGGAAGGTTCTTTCATTTATCTGTGAATATTTGGATACATAATCAATTATAGTTTGTCACTAAGCTATTGTTTAACTTATTATGCTTCATCCCAGAAATCCAGCATTGAATGGAACAAAAAAGGTGTGGATCGGTAACTACCTTAAAGGTAACCAAGTAAAAAAATATAATTAGAGACTGGTAGTTATATCACTGGTCACTTATTTATGGTCAAATTCCATATTGTTCCAGTATTCGGCCCGATACAGGTGGAGTGGCCGGTAGATAATCGGCACGGCACCGCACTCTCAAGGACGTCCGGTTGTCTCTAATCAGCCGAGAGAGTGAGTCATTGCGCCAATTGTGCGAGAGAAGGTCTCAGTCTGCCCGCTGCCGGTCAATCGCTTTCTTCATTAACAAACTAGCTCGCGAATCTTGGCTGCGAATTGAATTGACCTCTTTCATCATATTACTTGCATTTTGACAGTAAATTTTTGACTAGCGAACTTTTGACCATATAAACATTTAACTGTTTGACAATTTTGCCACCCACCGCTATCTATCATGGGAGAAAGGATAAGTAATGTAATTCCATGAACTTAAATGCCGAACCATGGTGTGTCTACTCGTATCGTTCTGTTAGGAAAATATTGTGATCAGTACTCCATTATTAGCACTCAAAATAATTCTTTTTACATGATTACGAGCTAGATAACGATCACTTTGAATCCACTTCATATTATGAATTATCGATATTTTCTGAGTTCTGTTCAATTCTCAAGCAGTACCGAACCTACAGCTAGATGAAAATAGTTAATTGTCAAATTAAAAAAGACCGAAAACTCTTTGAGTTTTTTTCAGCCAATTAAATAAACCTACGTTACCGTATGACTTTTTAAACTTTGAACAGCCGTTGAAAAATACTTGATTTTTACAAATTCCTACAGCTGTTTTCGCCCAATTTCACCCGCAATCGCTTAGGTAAGAGTTGACTAAGCACGCGTACAGGAAATAGCGAAATAAGTCGGGAATAATTTCCAGCAGCACAATACAAAGACAGCAACATACCGCTAATTACAAGCTGTATAATCACACGTCTGCACGCACGTAGTAGTCGAACTCTACTGGCAGATTTCTCCTATCTCGGACTTTTCAATCCTCCCCATCAAGATAAATGATTTTCTGTCTGGGTGAAATGCATTGATTTCCTCGTGGCGTTTGCTTTTGTTTGTAGTGTACTTGTAGTTAATACTCCTCTGAAATTGTTTTTAAATACTTTAAAGTTGTATCTTTTTCCAAATTACCTTCTTCAAACACAGTTATAACCTTGATAGAGTAGATTTCCGGAAGCGTATTGTTAACAATGATTCTACATAAATTGGTGAGTCGGTGGCTCAGTTGGTAGCGTCACGGACTTCAGGCCCAAGTCTTTAAGCACGGTTTAACCTTGATAGAGTAGAATTCGGAAAGCACATTGTTAACAATGATTCTACATAAATTCAGAAAGGCAAAACTATATCTGTCAACGCATCTAATAGACAATTTTGATAAGATCTGTTTAGCTTTGTTACTAAGATATGTTTTACTCTAGGCGCGGCCATGTTTCTAATTTTAAGTTCTTTAGTTTAGTATATTCAACTTCATTGAACATGGTAGTTAATTTGCAACAAAACAAAATATAAGAAAAAAAGCTCGACACAACCAGTAGGTATAGGCAGCAAACGTTCTTTTAAACATCGAAGGACATCCTC